TTTTTAGTCTTAAGTTTTACTGAATAAAGCAGTTATTGTATGGTCGTAGTCTTGTTTATGACACCTTATCACTGCTTCGTTGCATAGTTATTTCCGAACTACTGAATCTCTTCTGCCCTACTCCCACACGTGGTGTATTACATTAAGAGTGTAGCATCAATATCAATTATGATTTTAATATTTTTGCAAAGATTGCAATTAATGTTTGGAACTGTTTACTTGTACTTTCATTTGAAATTGGATATTGATCTTTATTTCTTCAGACATGCTATCACTACCTTCATATGAGTTGGAATTGGTTAGTTCTGGTTATTGGCATTATAATGATATACTAGCCAGGTTAAATGTATCTTCATACAAACTTCATACAAATGTGTGCCCAAGTTCATTTGTTCAACTGGATCATTGCTTTAATCGGTGATAGCATATTAATGATAAAACACAGAATTATTAACTTTTAAAGTACACGAATTGCATATTGTTGATAGGATTTTGAGACATGGAGGTTACTCCAGGTTAGTATTATTATCATAATGTATATTCACCAATATACAACCCAAAGAATGCTTTCTTAAATATACAATACTGTAAATAATGTACTATGAATTATGTGAACAAGGCACATGTTTTGGAATGTCACTGCTAGTTATTATGTCAGATTTTACCCCCAAACAATGTATGTGTTAATAATTTACCTACTTTTAATTTACATTTTGATTGTTCCTTCACAGGTGCAAAGGAACTTGGTGATTCTATAGTGATAAATGAGTTTTCAATTCTGTGTGGTCAGTGTAAAAAGAGGAAGACAGTACCAGCAGACAGAAAACTAGACAAAAAGGTGCTTTTTTCAAATCAAGATAGTGGCGTTTCTGTTATGTATTTAGTGAAGTGCATCTCTCAAAAATGTGGCAGCTCTTATTTCAATTCTACATTTAACATTTTCATGGTTGATTTTCTAATTTAGTTTAATATGGTGGACTGTACTATGTTTGCACCATAACAGGACATTACGATGGTTGCTGTGCCAAACAGTCCTTTTACAAGAAACAAAAAGAGAAGAATCAGGCAGAGACTGAGCAAATGAACACTTTTATGACAAAGTGGGTTTAAAGAAAAGTGCCAGAACAAGGATACAGAAAATCCAGAATCAGTGAGTGACAGGGATATCGACATAGATCAAGAGTGAGTTTCAGGCTGTAGATTAAAGTGATGATTTATGGTATCCGCATACTGTATTGCTATTGTTTGTGTGGAACTTAATCTTTCTGGTATTATAACGTAGGGTGTATGTATATGTTTGCTGACATCAGTTTGCAGTGAAATATATATGTTATTAATCATCTTGCATGATTGCTTGAATTGATGAGCTATTGCGATCATGCAGTGTCCATCGTCCGTCGTCTGTAGACGACTTCTTTTCTCAAACTGCTGAAGCTTTTTTTGGAGATGATGATTTGTTCAGGAGAAGACAATCCGCCAAAAACTCTGCAAATTCAGTCAAAAAACATGAACATTTTGAATTCGTCTCAAAAATGTCTTCATGTGATGCTAGATTGCTTCAATATTTGCAACATACGTACCTGGGCTGGTTTTCATTATTTGTTTATTATTTTTTCATTATTACTTTTTGTGATTTATCTTACATTATATTATACATGTACATAGGATGGCTAATGCATAGACTCTGTAGGACAGTATGTGAAACCTGTGTTATAATTTGGATAATATCAATTGTATAATGTCTGGAGAAATGAACTGTGCATTTTGTTGGGTCAAAATGTTTTTCCAACCATAAACTGGTTTGATTTCATATGTACCACAAATGTTTCTGCTTATAGTTCTTTTTAAAAGATACACATCTAGTCCAGTTGTCTACAATTCTCTAATTTTGATGAATTTTCCAAAGATTTTTTTCCATCTTCTGTATAGACCTAGGTATCTACGAAGGCACATAGCTAAGGCATGGGTCATTAGATCTATAATCCAGTAGCTTTGCTCTGCAGATGCTTCTGGTTTTAATAAAAGCTGCTTGTTCTTTTCAGGCCATTGGTGATATGTGTTGCCACGAGGAGTTGCCCTTTCAATTATTCAGCTTACAGATACATCTTTTAAAAAAATACACTGTGGGATAATTATGGGACCGGTGAGCGAATATTTATAAGTTTTTGACGTTTATTAATGTATTGACATGTTTCATAAATTCATACATAACATTCTAAAACTGTAAATAAAACAATGATTTTAACGTTAAATTACAGATTTTATTATTGAAATTAGAATAAAACTTTAAACAAAACTCTCTTCGCTTTGTTCAGATTTGTTCCTTCCTTGGAGATAGCTGAATATGTGAGTGACTGTGAGCAATATTTTAACGACTTCTAGTGTTATCTATCATCATCATCATCTGACGAAGAACAGTATAATGGTTCAATAGATGATAAAATGTTGTGTGATATTGATGAATTCGACAGTGATATAGATCCTGAGCATAATATTTTTCCAATTACTATTGATGATGCTGACCCAGTATGCAAAATGCTTAACAAATTATTAGAATCTGGCCGATTACCAAAAGATAGAATATTTTATAAGTATCTAAATGATGTTGTAAACATATTGGTTGACTCTAGTCAAAGCAATGATGAAGGTGTTATTGATTTGTTTCAATTCAATAAAGTATCTTGGAGGTGAATGCACTGTACATTTTGTAAAGGGGCTTATGTGGCATGGGACTGGCAAGGGTGGGCAGAAAAGACCTGAAGATGCAAAGATGAACTTAGATGGTCCTTAACGTCGTACTCTGCAAAAAAAATCAACTGTCTATACATCAGATAGTGGTAACATCAAACTGATGTATCATAAATCGGATGTATTCCCTTTGTTGAAAGTCCAGCAGTGAAAGTAACTGCAGTGAATCTTCAAAATAATGGCACTGCTTTACAACCTGCTATCCAGTTTGATGATGTACAGAACACATGCATTGAACTAAAATATGCCGTAACTATAAATTATATTAAACAGTCACCAACCCCAAAACCAGAAATATTAAATAAACACTGTTGTCACAGAGACAAATGTCAATTTTATTACTTCAGTAGACAATAAAGTGAGTATGCCTGTTGGTGTACATTGCAAACCAAAACTGGTAAAAGTGGATCCGAAATGAAAGAGTAATTCCTGCAGGATATTAGCATCATTCAGTTTGGAATGTCTAAATTGTGCAACATCAAAAAACAGTGTTGTGAACAAGGACGCTGTCAGTCATTTTACAA